AACAAGAATGATTTTCTAACTACAATTATATGAACTGTTATGACTTGGCATCTTTATCTTTACACCCCCCTCAAGCTGAGCTTGGAAAGACTAGGAGTTCCAAGAGAGAGCTTGGATTGAAGGAAGAGAAACCGATGTTTAGACAGAGATTTGGTGTGAATATCGGCGATCTGATCCTGACTACAAACATACTGAATTTTAATCAGATTAGCAAGAACCAGCTCCCTGATATAGTGATAATCGATCTCCACGTGTTTAGTTTGGGCATGAAAAACAGGGTTGGATGCAAGTGAAATGGCAGAGATGTTGTCGCACCAGATGGTAGGTTGGAGCGTGAGGGGGAAACCAAAATCTCTGAAAACCTTGCAGATCCAGGTAATTTCCGCAGCAGTATGAGCAAGAGACCGATATTCAGCCTCAGTAGAAGAACGAGCTACTGTAGACTGCTTTTTAGCACTCCAGCTGACTAAATTGGAGCCAAGATACACACAAAATCCACTCGTGGATCGTCTATCAAATGGGCAGCCAGCCCAGTCTGCATCAGAATAAGCTGATAGAGTAAGAGGACCCTTAAGAAACCAGATGCCATGAGAAGATGTACCTTTAAGAAAACGCAAAATTCTCTTGGCTGCTTGCAGATGTAAGTCAGTAGGAGTATGCATAAATTGGCATACTTGGTTTACTGCAAAGGAGATATCAGGCCGAGTCCAAGTGAGATACTGAAGGGCTCCCACAATGGATCGATACTCGGTTGGATTTGCCAAAGGTGTACCACTGTGATCCAGTTTGACAGTACCAAGAGGTGTCGAACAAGGCTTAGCACCCTCCATTTTTGTCTTGTGCAAAAGGTCCAACAAATATTTACCTTGATGTAAAAATAATCCTGCTGTGGTGCGTTGGACCTCAAGTCCCAAGAAGTAATGTAAAGGACCTAAGTCTTTGACAGGAAACAAAGAACTTAGCTTCTGAATGAACAAACGGCAGGCTGAAGAATCCGGACCACTGACCAGTATATCGTCTACATAGACAAGTACAACCACAAGAACTGGAGCCTTAAGAACAAAGAGAGATGCATCAGAGGAGGACTGAGTAAAGCCTAGAGACTGAAGAGACTGAAATAGCTTATCAAACCATGCCCGTGGGGCCTGTTTGAGGCCATACAGGGACTTTTTCAACTTACACACATGATTCGGATAGTTTGGATCACTGAAGCCAGGTGGCTGATGCATGAAGACTTCTTCCTTTAAATCACCATGAAGAAAAGCATTGCTAATATCGAGTTGATGAAGAAACCAATTAAACTGGACAGCAAAGGTTAACAGTATGCGAATGGTGACAGGCTTTGCTACAGGACTGAATGTCTCTTAATAGTCTAGACCCTCTTGTTGGTGAAATCCCTTGGCAACAAGCCGGGCTTTATACCTGTCAACAGTTCCATCAGGCTTCTTTTTGATTCGAAATACCCATTTACAGCCAACAATATTCTGACTGGAAGAAGGAGGAACCAAGATCCATGTACCAGTGGATTGGAGGGCATTAAAATTCGGCCTGCATTGCAGTTCGCCACTCAGCAAACTTAGAAGCTTGATTGTAAGTGGTGGGGATATAATCAATAGAGGATGAGAGGGGATGTTTGGTAGCATTATAGGCCCGAGGCTTAAAAATACCATTTTTTCGATCGAGTGACCATTGGATGTGTGTTATGACTTGGCAAAGGTGGAGGAGGTGATGGAGATTGAATTGGGACTGGGGAGACAGGAGCTGTAGGAGAGGAAGCAGGGGTAATAGGATTGATAGGAGAAGAGCATGTTGGAGCAGTGGTTAGGGTAGACATAGGAAAATGGAGATCAAAGGTAGGAGAGCTAGGAAGGGTAGAAGGAGAGAATGAAGATGTCTTGGTAGTGAAGGGAAATGAGCTCTCATCAAATTGAACATGCCGAGAGATGTAAACTCGGGCAGTAGCTATGTCTAAGCACCTATAACCCTTATGTTGTAAGCTGTACCCAAGAAAAACACACTGCTTGCTTTTGCCATCAAGTTTAGAGTGAACATAAGGTTTTAGCCAGGGGAAGCAACTACACCCAAAGACACGGAGTCGAGTGTAGTCAGGAAGTGTGTGAAATAGTAACTCCCATGGAGATTTGAGAAGACCAGAAATGGGTAACCTGTTGATCAAGTAAATGGCAGTGGAGAAGGCTTCAACCCAATAAACTGAAGGGACTTGAGAAGCTACTAACAGTGTTCGGGCTGTTTCTACAAGATGGCGATGCTTGCGTTCTACACATCCATTCTGTTCAGGTGTATGTGGGCAGCTGTATTGATGAAAAATGCCATGCAAATTGAGATAAGACTGAAAAGAAGCACTAGTGAACTCACCCCCTGAATCAGAACGTATAGTCTTTATTTGATTGCCAACAGACTTTTCCACATAGTTCTTGAAATTTACAAAGGTAGAAAACACCTCAGATTTTCTTCGTAATGGAAAGAACCAGCTATATCTGGTGTAATCATCTACTAACAACAGATAATACTGAAAACCACTCACAGAAGGCACAGGGGCAGGTCCCCATACATCACAATGAATTAAAGCTAAACTATGAGGAGTTGATGACTTAGCAGGAGAAAATGACAGTTTATGATTCTTAGCAATGGCACAATCTGAGCAGAAGAAGTCAACTGAGGATTTACCATGCAGTGCAAGACGATTACTAGAGATTACTTTCCGAAAAATGGTAGAGGAGGGATGACCCAGTCGACTGTGCCAAATCTTTACTGGAGCTTTAATACTGACGAATGCTGATGAAGAAACAGAAGAGATACCACTGGAAGGAAAACTTTGCAAAGGATAGGAGCCATCTCTAACGGGTCCCCGCAAAAGCATCTTCCCCGTAGAACGATCTTTAACAGAGGATCCATCAGAGTCAAGGGTTAATGAACATGAATTGTCATTAACAAATTGAAAAGCAGACAATAAATTGTGCTTCATTTGAGGAACATGAAGTACATTGTTCAATTTAAAGGAATGATGAGGAGCATGTAACAAAGAGGAACCAGTATGAGTGATGGAAAGACCTTTACCATCACCAATGTAGACTTTATCTTCACCAGTATAAGGAAATGGAGACGAGATGTTGGAGATGTCATTTGTTATGTGAGAAGTTGCTCCAGAATCAATGAGCCAGGAAGGAGAAGAGGACTTGGATTGATAGTGCGCACACATTGCAGCAAGCTTTGCTGGAGGGATTTTACCAGAAATATCTGGATTCATGCGATCAAAGCAATCGATTGCCTCATGACTTGGATTCCCACAGATCTGGCAGGGATTACGAGCACCCGACGAAGATGAACCACGAGAGGAGGAGTTATGACCACGATTGAATCCAGAAGTGAAGCCATGAGTGTAGTTGCCCCGATGATTGCCTCTGTGTCCTCGATTATTAGAAAATCGATTATTCCGGCCACGATAGGAGTTATATCGAGAAGAGGTATGAAGAGGAGGCTGTTGAGCAGCAAAAGCCTGAGGTGGTGTAGGAAGAAGAGGCGGTAAAGCGTGAACCGAGAGAGCATGAAACGGTTCAGTAGGTGCAGAAGAGGCAAGTTGCTTCCGTCGATTCATGGAAAGCTCCTTGGTGAGTAATAATCCATGCAGCTCATCAAGGGATGTGGAAAGAGAGACGAAGCATGATGGAGTCGATGAATGATTCGAACTCATCAGGAAGACCAGCCAGGGTAGCAGCAATGAGATCTCGATCTGAAATCGAAGTGCCTGCAGCAGTGAGGGAATCTGAAATTTCTTTGATCTGCTGCAGATAATCCGCCATTGATTGAGAATTCTTCTGAATGCACTGAAGGCGAGAACGAAGCTGATGAATGTGCGCATCAGAGACACCACCGAAGCGCTGCTCAAGCTTAAGCCACAGATCTCTAGAAGACGAAACGCCGACAGTGAAGGGAATGACTTCTTCAGAGAGTGTTGAATTGAACCAGATGAGAAGATTCTGATCTTTCTCATACCAACTCTCAAAAGCAGGATTGATCGAACGATCTGGTAGACATGGCGTCGGACAGGGCTCAGTGCCATCAATGAGTCCGAGAAGCTTGTACCGGCGAAGAATAGGGGCAAAGAGAGCACACCATGGTAGGTAATTCGAACGCTTGAGCTTGATCGGCACCATGCTGCCGATGTTCTGAATCGTGAGAGAAGCGTACGAATTTGACAAATTAGGGTTTGAAGAGGAGGAATTGGGATTCGGAATCTGAGAAGAGGAACCGGTGGGCGACGCCATCAAAGAACACAATGTAAGATCCAAGATGCAAGATCGAAAAACAACACTAGTAATATCTCACAGATCGAAGATGAGATGATTGAATGGAGACGAGAGCACGGCGGAAGAGAGGAGGATCGAAGAGAGGAGGATCGAAGAGAGGAGGATCGAAGAGAGCCGTGAGGCGTGGCGATTGATACCATATAGAAACCCAAAGTACAGAGAGATAATTTCTATCTTAATATTCCTCTTCTCATTTACTTTTCATAACATACTTTTACATTTACATTTCGATAACTATATATAGTTAAGGCTATGTACCAAAATATCTATGACAGCCTGTAAACATAACCACCTAACCAAACTATACAGTTGTAATAATACAGTTATAACAAGAATGATTTTCTAACTACAATTATATGAACTGTTATGACTTGGCATCTTTATCTTTAAAGAAAGCATGCAATAAAGGAAAAGATGATTTCTTTACTATATTTCTTAATGACTTGGGTTTCGTTTGTTGATTAGGATTTTTCCAGTCAAAAGTGTTTGAAGCATGCCTATATAAAGGCGTACAACATCATATGTTGAGCATTGTCATAGAGTTTTGAGAGTTTTCTCGTCGATATATTTTAGTAGGTTACATGAATTTCAATTATCGTCTATAGAATTCAAATGTTTGTCGATACGTTTATGTTGTTTTCTTCTCATCAAAGGTACATACCGTTTACATACATGCAAACATATCGACAAATTACATGCATTATCAAGGTTTCATATCTTTGTGTTATATGAGTTCCAACTTTAAAGTCTGTTCCATTATTCGTTCATTGATTAGTAAGTTGGTTATGTTGTTCAAAGGATCTGCTAATCCAACTTAGGGTACGTTTCACTTTGTCACTCCTACACTAGAAAACTAGAAAACTAGAAAACCCAGCAAACTTGAGTCTTGAGGTGCAAGTAATCTTATGCTGCCTTAATTCCTTGATTAGGTGTTTAACCTTTTTCATTAGGGATGCATATATAGCTTTAATTGATTTGTTCCAGCTGATATATACCTGAAAAATTCACGCAAGCCCGTTAAACTAGGGAACATACAAAAATGAGTGCAGAAAATTTCGTTTCAGTAATTTTAGCTTTTCTAGTAGTGACTTTCGTAAAAGGAGCGGGTAAATTATATTTTTAGCGGGAGGCCGCGTCGCAAAACTCCACGTCCGTTTAGATTTTCCCGGAGCTCCATCTGCCAAGTATATATAGCTTCTTGATTGACCTTTCGTCTGTCTTCCTCTCCAAGCTTCTTCCCGGAAAAAAAATACATACACACACATATATAAGTGTATATATTTTTATATGTGTGTATATAACAGCTCCGAATTCTTGATTTTCGAGTTCTGTTCTTTGTGGTGATCCCCATTCGAAGGCATTATTGTTTCTCAGTTTCTTGCTTCAAAAGCCAAAAATACCGATTTGCTTTCCTTCTTGGTTTTCTTGAATCCGATTCCTGGAGTGGACCGGTGAGTCCTCATGTTTTAATCTTTCAGTCATTCTTTACCTTGTTTTTACATTTTCGGAAATCCCATTGCAGCGTATAAAAGCTCGGTTATTTCTTTCTTTATTAACCCAGGTTTTTTGAAATTTTGAGAATCATCAGAGGACAAGATGTTGAGGGGGTTCCGAAAGCCGAAATTCGTCACCAAATGGTTCGTTACAAAAAAACCCAAACTCGTGTTTCAGTTTTTTTATCTCTGTTCATTGATGAGTTTTTCTTTTTCTTCTTTCTAATTCTGGTTGTTTTTTTTATGCAGTAAATCGGATATAAAGATGACGAAGATGCGGATCGAGGCGATAAAGAAGAAGAGGAGCGCGGTGCAGAAGTTTTTGAAGAGCGACATAGCTGATCTTTTGAGGAGTGGCCGTGACATCAATGCATACGGCAGGGTATGTATGCATCTGCTTAATTAATCTTCTTCTAGGTTTTTGTTTTGATTAATTAATTAAACAATATGACGTTAATCTTGTTTATAATTTTTGTTGTTTTTATGTTTTCTGTGGCCTGAAAAATAAGCTTGTTTCCATTCCCTCTTTTTACTCATGAATCATTTTGTATGAAACAATTTTTCCTTCATTTGAAAGATTTGTTTACCTGGCCAATTGAAATTAGGGTTGGTTTCGGTTTGGTAAACCGAAAAGTGGCTACCGAAAACCGAACCATGAAATTAACAAAACCAACTCCGAACCGAAAATTGGTAATCTTGAAATTATTTCTGAGAGATAGAGAGTTTTAGTTTTTACGAATGGTTGAGATTCAATCTCAAACAAATCCAACGACCACAAATTTTTTTGTTAAAAAATTAATATATATATATATATATTGTAGGTTCGGTATTACCCAACATATTGAAGTGAGGTCCTGATCCCATACCTAATTATCGGGGTTTTTTCAGTATCGATTATTGAATGTTTCGATATTAACAGTTTGATATTCTTCGGGTTGGTTCGGTGCGGTTTGGGTAGGGTTCGGTTTCTTTTTTTTCAGCCATAGTTGAAATGGTAAAATTACTATGGATTTATGTGGCTTGTCTTTTACATGGGTAAACGTCAACATTATTTACATTAAAATGGAACAGAATCTGTACTTCTGTATATGGAATAGATTACTTGGTTTTGGATGACATTTTCTTCTGCACTGCCGTTTTCGCAAGTATGTCCTCCAAGATTTAGCTTGGTAGGTCTTGTTAGTCGTCAATCTTCCATCCCCAGCCACGCAAACATAAACCTGCTCGCAATGTCATGTATTTTCGATTGCCTTGCATTTATATTGAAACAAGATTACTTGCATACTGCATCGTTGCAGATGATCCGTGATTTTTACATATATGCTTGACGCAGTAGTTCACTCACAGAGCGTTCAGTTAATATATCTTGTTCAGTTCTCTTAATGCTTCATGATCGGTGAAACAGGCTGAAGGGCTTCTAGTTGAGCAAAATATGTCCGCCTGTTATGAATCAACTGAGAGCTTTCTTGGATGCATCTCGACTCAACTTCCTCTCATACAAAATCAGAGGTATATGTGGCTTCCGGAATAATATGCTCATTAAGTTTCATAGACTTTTCTGCTAGCCTTATCTTTTATTTGTTTGTTTTCCAGTGAGTGCCCTGAGGAATGCAAGGAAGCTGTTCGGTCAATTATGTACGCTGCAGCACGATTTGCTGATTTACCAGAACTCCGTGAGCTCAGAACTCTGTTTAGTGAAAAGTATGGAAATTCCCTCGAACCTTTTCTGAATAAAGAGGTAATAATTCAAAACTTGCTCTTTAAGTTCATAGTTATCAAATAATCAAAAGATGCTACTTGTTCTATACGTTTGTCTCTAGTCTGTCTGACCCAATTATTTGTTTGTGCTCAGTTTGTGGAGAGGTTGAAGTCAAAGCCTCTTACGAAGGAGACGAAGATTCAGTTAATGCACGACATAGCACAAGAATTTTCGATTGAATGGGATTCAAGGTCTTTGGAACAGAAACTGTATACTAATACTCCATCGGCATCTGACCAAGTAAGTCTACTTTATGCATCATTGCTATAAAATACTTATACTGGAAGAAATCAAAAGTAAATTGTACCATCTGGTACATATTCTGAAGCTAATAAAGTACCTTACCCCTGAGAAAAGATGTCGACAAAGGTACTTTTGTACCTTGCAAAGCTGCCTAGATGCCAAACGGTTCCCTCCTTCATGTTTTTTGTTCCCACGTTATGTGTTATTATAGTGCTTCTTATTGTCTGTTCTCGTTGATCGTAACATGTATGACCCTTTTTGCAGGGCCAGCGCAGGTGTGGATCTCCAGTTGACAGCGATGACGATATGCACAAATCACATAAAAGGCAAGACAATGCTTTCCCGAAGAGAAGAAACCAGGAGGGTGACTCTTATGACAGTTACAAGCTGCAGAGCAGCAGTGAAGACGAAACAACAACAGATGTATCCCAATCTGCCCCAAAATATTCTTCAAGCTCAGTAGGAAGTACATCCGGGGATGAAGCAGATACCAGCAAGATGCCCTTCTACTCCAAGTTTGTTCCACCACCTTACTACAGATCAAGACCTGAAAAAGAGGAAAGCAGTCACGTCGAAAGGGAAACAGATCACCCTAGCGATGTTTCAGTTGGTGAAGATAATACAAAACGAAGATCAGCAAGGAGGGGAAACTTGAAACCACCACCAGGTCACGGGAATCTTGGCAGGAATGATAAAACTAGACATGGAGAGGATAGTGATTCAATGGACGAAGAGAAGAGAATAATGGATGGGCTTTTGATACATTACAGCAGGAAACAGTCACCCTATGAATCGAGCCAGATGAAGGGCAGTCTAGACGATGATGATGCTGGTGAATCAACATGGAACAGAAGCAGAAAATCTCAGCGAGAAGCTCCGTCAGCCAGAGCATCATCTCTCCCACCAGAGCCAACAAGTCCAATTGAGGCACCGAAAAAGCATGTCCGAGCATTTTCCTTCACACCAGATGTACACGTGCACCCAAAGCTACCGGAGTACGATGAACTGGCAGCTCGAATTGCCGCTCTTAGAGGAATATAGAAGAAAGACAGCATTAGAAATTAAAGTCTGAAAATGTTTATTTGGTGTCATCTTCTCTACCTCTAATAGGAAATATTATTGGAGTTTGATATGTCTATCAACATCCATTAATCATTAGTTTGCTGATCATATAACACTGTAAAAATCCCGAAAGTGTCATGGTTGAACTTTAGAGTTCACAATCTAACACTACTTCAGATATAAAAGTTGTGTGTTTTCCTTTCATGGTTTATGTTGGATTTTTAGTTCTATGATCATGTGAAATCTGGCGCTTGGAATAACTGAAACTAGTGATAATGTGAGATGGTTATATTAAGATTCTACGAAAAATCACTATGGGCTGAAATTTTTTCCTCAAAATCCCAAACCAAATAAAAAAAATCCTGATCCCATACCGAAAAATTCTCAAACCAATAATACCAAAATTTTTAGGATCCATGCTGAACCGATCCCGAACCTTTCGGTACTAGAATCGGGATCACATATTCAATAGTTCGGGAATCCCAAACCGAACCGAAAATATATATATATATATATATTGGTTGCATGTATGTTGAATGTTGAATTTAAGTAGTTTGATAGTAGACTATATTAGAAATAGAAATATGAAATTAAGTAGTTTTGACTTGTTATGAATGAAATCATCTTTCAATTGATATGAGTTAAAAAATCTAAATTTCAATTGATATGATATTGGGGAACAAAATTTTAGGCCAAAAGCCCAAATTTTAGACCATAACCTAAAAATATCAAATTTCAACCCAAAAGGCTAAAACCGAAAATCCAATTCTGATCCATCCCGAAATACCGAAAACATTTCGAGAATCCCAAAAATTGGGAATACCAAAATTTCGGTTTGGGATTGATCAAATTCTTATCCCGAATATTTTCTGTTTGGGATCCCATACCAAACCAACCCTATAAATCACATATAAATTATAACATTTTTTAAGCATTCAACCATGCATTCGAGATCTGTCAATCACTCTACTAGAAACTTGCTATATTAGCTCAGCTCGTAATGGTTGGCATTTCTAAAATTTTATGAGTCTAGAATATACGTATTGCTCGCTAACCAAGTATACTTGGTAACATTTCCTTAGAACTGAATAAATGGAGGTTTATGAGCAAATGAAAAAGAATGCTCTGTACCAATGACACCTCTCACTCAACATATTTGATTATTAATAAAAAAATAAAACTAATGAAAAATTAAAAAAAAAAAATAGTTTTAATGAGAAATGACAAATAAAGGTATAGTGAATAGTACCAGATAAAGATAAAAATGTGATTTTTCGTTAAAAATGAACAATACCGGAAATATTTCGTTAAAACTGCATATTAAGAATGCTTGTACTGATAACATTAATGAAAAGAAGAGGGATATTTTCAACCAAAATAGAAAAAAAAAATTAAAAAAAAAATTATATATATACAACAAAAACATTAGCCCATCTAAATAGTTATAAACCCAACATTTAAGAAAAACATAGGCCATATTTACAACAAAAACAGCAGCCTAGCCCACTCCAACAAAAGCAGTAGCGTAGCCCACTCAGAGAGAGGCACAAACAATAAACAAACAACAGCCGAGGAAACCCTAATTCCCATCAAGGAGAAGCAGCCCGCCACTGGATGTCTTTCGCTAGCAACCATCGGAGTAGCCATCATGTAGGAACCAATCGAAGGTGGGTCCATTGAGAGCCAAGCAAAACCACAATAACCCCACAAAAACAAGCACACCCGAAGCAAAAGTCAGATTTTAGAGTGCAGCAACCACACATGGAGGAAAAGTACTAAAAGTATAGTAACAAAGGGATGGGGATGACCAATGGATGTGTGAAACATCTTTACTATGAAACAGTCGTAGAACACTTTGCCCAAATATTCTGGTATGCTGGTAGAGCAATGGGTAGTGCGGTAGCAATCTAGATCCCCAATTGGGTCCAAAACACGAATGGGTAAGGATAATCGGAATAAAAAAAGCGAAATAGAATTCCGATTATAGAATATTCTGGTGTTTACTAAACATTGGAGAATAAAATATTTGGTGGGACCCATGCAAATTTTGGAATCCAACTCTAAATAGAGGATTTTTTTTAAGGAAACGATAGTAGATCTCATTAATCATATCAAAATATAGTGAAACAAGCATATAAAGTTCAACAAGATGGGGCACAATCCTCCAAAAGTACATCAATTAAAATACTAGGAGGAGAAGTCATCCGATCGAAAGTGTGTTCCACCGATAATCCAAAGCGGGCAAGTCTATGAACCGCCGTGTTGGCTTGAGGGTGAATGTGGGTAAAAGGCACTTCAGTGACTGAGGGGGCTAAAACCTTGATGTCTTCCACCACTTGACCAATGTAGGATAGATTAGTAGAAGGGTCATGTCAAGCTTCCACAATCTAAAGAGAATTGCTCTCTCAAATTAAATTTGTAAACCCCCTATTCATTGCCCAAATCAAACCCGTCTAGACGGCCACCACTTCCGCTTGAATGAAGTGAAGATATCCAAAGACTTTCCACACGAAGCTGTCATAAAACTACCATTTTCATCTCTAATGATCAGGCCGAAACCCCCCACTTTACTCTCACCATTCCAGGCCCCATCAGTATTTAGTTTGAGGCGTCCCGAGGGCTGAACTGCCCATTTCAAAGTGGAATGTCGAGAAGGGTTTATGTGGTTTGTGTTAGCATTGGCAGTAATAAAATTCTGCCACCAATGAAGAGCCCGAGCAACCACCACATTAGGACGTTCCGCATTGCCTTTCCAAAGCTTCCCATTCCTAGCTCCCAATATTGCCCAACAAATCATCATGGCTGATTCGAAATGAGAGGATTGGAGAGAACCATCAATTTCCATAGCCTATTCAAGAAATGTAGCGGCGAAGAAACCTCGTAATGGTATCACCAAGTGCAAAGACATCCATGCACATTTAGCATAAGGACAGTCCTTTATGAAATGGAGAGTAGATTTCGTCTGATAGTTGCATTGCACACATGCCAAATCCGTAGGGATATGGTGTTTCCCCAAATTTTCCTTTGTAGGAATTATGTTATTACAGAGTCGCCAAAAACAAATCCTCACCTTGGGGGGAACGTTTGCCTGCCAAACCTTAGCCCAGAATTTGGAAGCAAGCCTTGAGGATGCAGAGGAAGAGGCCTCGTTATTTATCGGGACCAACCATGCATGTATGATATAATATGCACTTCTCACCGAGAATTTACCATTTTTCTCAAAATGCCATATTAATTGATCAGGAGAGCGGCAGAGGCTTAAGGGTATGGCACGGATCACTTCCACTTCCGTATCGGTAAAAAGAAACCCCACTAGGTCCAGGTTCCATGTCCCCGAAGAGTGAGTAAGTTGACAGACATTCTAGAGGATACAATCAGTGGGCTTTGGGGAGAAAATGCGAAAGGTGGACGGGAGAGGGACCCAAGGATCCTCCCAAATGTTGATCAATTCGCCACACCCCACTTGCCATCTTAAGCCCAAGCTAAGAACCTTCCTGGCAGTGCATACACTCTTCCAGCAATAAGAAGAGTCTGGGGATACCACAGCATTTAAGAGACTTGAGTTTGGAAAGTACTTCGCTTTGAACACTCGAGCCACTAGCGATTGAGAATCGGAGAGGAGCCTCCATCCTTGTCTAGCAAGTAAGCCAAGATTAAAGGCATAAAGGTTCCTAAAACCCAATCCCCCCTGAGATTTAGGAAGGCACATTTTATCCTAAGAATACCAATGGATCTGTTTCCTACTCTCACAATCATTCCACCAAAAAAAGGCTACCAACCGGTTCAAACTATCACAAAAGTATTTTGGTATAAGGAAGCAATTCATCATATATGTAGGAATGGCTTGGGCCACTGCCTTGACAAGAAGCTCATTCCCCGCCACGCTTACAAGTTTCCCCTTCCAACTTTGTAGGTGTTTCCAAAGTTGTTCCTTGATATAGGTAAAGCAAGCACTTTTATTCCTTCTTACCAAAGTAGGCATTCCCAGATAATGTTTATGTCTCTCTACTCTTTGCACCCCTAGAGCGTTGGCAAGTTTTGATTGTATATCCCTTTTTAACATTTTTGCTAAAACATACTTCACTTTTAGCAAGGTTCACTTGTTGCCTTGAAGCTAATTCGTAAGTGAGGAGGAGTTCGGAAATATTGTGGCATTCATCTTTGGTTACACAACAAAAGAGTAGGCTATCAAAAGCAAATAGCAGGTGATTTATGGCCTGAGTATTGGCGCATATAGAGATCCCTTGTAGTTTCTTCACTCCCGTTTGGCAATGAGGCCGGATAGGCTCTCGGCATAAAAAAGAAAAAGATAAGAAGACAAAGGGTCTCCTTGCCTAAGCCCATGGGTAGGGTGGATGTTACCCTTTAGCCAACCATTCATAACAAAAGAGTAGGAGACCATAGAGACAAACTGCATCACTAAGTTCACCCATTTTTGTGAGAATCCCATGTTGGTAAGAACACTCCTAAGGTATCGCCATTCGATGTGATCATAAGCCTTACTTATATTGAGTTTTAAGGATAAAAAGCCTTTCTTTCCCCTTCGGCACTTGGACGACCAGGTGGCAATCTCCACCACAAGAAATGTATTGTCCGAGATGTGGCGGTCCGGGACAAAAGCTATTTGGGTGGGGGATATGATATGGGTGAGGATTTGTTTCAACCGATTGGCCACAACTTTAAAGGCTATTTTGAAAATCACATTGCAAAGACTTATCGGTCTGAAATGGGAAAGATCCCTTAAGAGCCTTAACTTTTGGTATCAGAGAGACATGAGTGTTGTTTATCTGTTTTAGTAACTTCCCAAATTGGAAAATGTTAATGATGGCCCTGGTGACATTGGCCCTAATGATCCTCTAAAACTTTTGGAAGAAAAAGAGGCATTCCATTGGGCCTCGGTGCTTTGGAAGGGTGCATTTGGAAAAGGGCCGCCTTAACCTCATCTACAAAAATTAGAGCGTCAAGTTTTCGGTTCATATCGTCAAAAATCTAAGAACCCCCAGATCCAAGGACCTCTTCCCCCCGAGGTGGGGGGGGAGGCAATTAACATGTCCCCAAAATAATTCATAACTACATCCTCCATGCCATGATCATCTGAAACCCAAGTCCCATTTGAATGATTTAGGTCCTTTATTCGGTTTTTTTACTTCCGAATATTAGTTTGTTGGTGGAAGAACTTTGTGTTTTTATCTCCTTGTCTCATC